TGCCGAGCAGGGAGCCCGATGTGGGACTCGATCCAGGGACTCCAGGATCATGACCTGAGCCGAAGGCAGTAGCTTAACCAACTGAGCCACCCAGGTGCCCAAAAAGAAATATTTTTAACTTAAAGGTATAGATGACTTCTTTACTTTCTAGTTGTTTGTAGAAAAAGGAACTTGTAGAAAAATACGTTCAGAGTGATTGAATAGAAATAATTCTTATTTCTTTCAATAGATGGGATTGCTACTTTTATATATTATAATTTTACTTGTGAACATATTTGATTTTTCATCAGGAATAATATATAATAAAGGTAAGTTTCAGACTCTCTTACTGTTTTCTTGTAGTTCTCCTTTATTCCCTTCCTCACTAACAATTAAAATACTTTTTTTTGGTACTTCTTTACCTTGTCTTCCAATTTTTCCCAGGTATTATTTATTGTGCTCTTGTCTAGAGGTTTCTAATAATATCACTGTGAATCTATTGGTATTAAGTTGTGTACATAGACACCTTTTTTACAGTGTTTCATCGCTTGTAAGTCATAGAATATTTAAAGTTTAAGGAGCATTTTATATTTGAAAAACTTTATTTAATTACTTAAATAGCTTTTTTTGCTTTTTCCTACATGGTTACATGTGGTATGAATTGTAAACTGAATTATAAGTCTAACAGATTGAGACTGAAGATCATTTTCTAAAAGTAATACATGGATTAAATTACCCGGTAGGACTTTTATGGTGGAAATGCTTTGTAAGAGGAATAAGACAAGGCAATTCACCTCCACTTGTGCAGATTGTTAGATTTTCTAGCATTTGGACTGGGTCTGCTAGAACAGTAGATGCTTAATAAAAAAAAAAAAATTGTTGACTGACTAATGAAGAGATGGATTCAGGCTGTCTTCTATTCACAGGTGTGTTGCAGAAATGCTTGATTTCTGGGATGACCCAGTACCAGTTCCTAGGTTCTACTGTAGAATATATAACACACACACATGGGTAGAATCTAAGATTAGAGAGTCACAGGCCAACTTAACGAGATTTCAGAGAAGGGAGTGTTTACTTCCACCTGAGAGGGTTGGTCAGGGAAAGCTTTGTACAAAAGAGAGCAATCAGTCTAGGTCCCCAAAATGAGTGTGTCTATGCATGCATGGGGGAGACAACATCAGGGTAAGTGATGGTAAAGTCATGGAGGTAGGTAATCATATAATGTCAGGGGAGCAGTAAATAGTTTGGCCAGAATGAAGGGATAGAAGAAGTAAAATATTTTGGAAAGATAGGAAACTGGTTCATGTCATGGAATTACTTGAATGCCAGGCTGGAATTTGAGCTTTAGCCTAAATTCATTAAGATGGAGATTGACAGAATGGATAAAAACCCATGATCCAACTCTGCTGTCTACAAGAGATTCACTTCAGATCAAGATAAAGGGAAGAGATCTTCCTCCCAACCCCTTTTCCCTCCTTTTGGGAGAGTCTCTTTCCTATCAATAGCTCTCTATTAAAATAGAAATTCTCTCTTCAATCTCCAACTCCTGTCCTTTCTCTGTGCTCCCCAAGGGCTTTAAGAGTCAAGAACTATTTAATATTTACATTGCAAAATTTCCAGCTTTGTTTTATTGTTGATCTTTAGTTTTGTACCATTGTGGTCAGAAAATATTCTTGGTATGATTTCAGTCTTCTTAAATTTTATATTTGTTATGTCTCTTTTTATGTGATTGAGCCAGGGGATTCTTCTGTGTGCACTTGAGGAAAATGTGTATTCTATTTTTCTTGGATGGAATGTTTTATATAAATCTTTTAGAACCAGGTATTCTGAAATATGCTTCCGGTGAAAAAAGGTTCTTACTGACTTTGCATCTGGATAATGAAATTTGTTGAAAGTTTTTTAAAAATTAAAAAAAAAAAAGTCAAGAACTGGTTTTTGACCACTTCTGAATTTAAAATATACAATTATAATTCTTACTCTTTTAAAATTATTTTGTCAGTTTAAAAAATATGGAAATTCTTCTATCAGTGACTTCAAATATATGTATTTTTTTATTATTTAGGTGATATGGAGATACACTTTGCTTGTGATAGCAAAGGGTTCCCCCAAAAGAATGAAATAATCAAGTTGTATCTTTCCTCAGATGACTTGGTAAGGTCCCCTAATAGTATGCAACAACCCCTCACAGTCTTTTTAACTCCACATGGAAAACCAGTAGCACTGTACTCTTCAAATGCCTTCTACTATGTTCAGACTTGGGGAGGTAAAATCCTATGTAAATAATAATCTTTTCTATTCCATTCCACTTGGATCAGGTGAAATATTGCATTTAGCCATTGAACAGCGTGGGTGGTTTTGCCTTTTTTTTTTTTTTTTTAAAGATTTTGTTTATTTATTTGACAGAGAGTGAGCTCAAGTAGGCAGAGCAGCAGGCAGAGGGCGAGGGAGAAGCAGGTTCCCTGCTGAGCAGGGAGCCTGACGTGGGGCTCGATCCCAGGACCCTGGGATCATGACCTGAGCTGAAGGCAGCTGCCTAACCCACTGAGGCACCCAGGCACCTTTTTTTTTTTTTTTAAGCTACATCCCCCTTCCCTTTTTAAAAGGTTGGTTGTAATGATCTTTATTTTTTATGGATCTGATTTGTCCTTTTGAAGTTTGACAGATGTAGCCTGTTAGAGAAATTTACTTCACATGACCCAGAGAAAGAATCTTTCCCTTTTATAACAAGTACCACATTGTGGTTGTCATTTGGGTAAGGGATGATTTGATTTTTACAATTCATATAGTGGCATTTAAACACACACACACACACACACACAAACCCAAAATAAAATAAAATATACTATTAAGATAGCCATCCAGCAAATGCTGGCAAAAACCTAAGTTAAGAAAAAATGTATAGATTGTTTGAAATCTATGATAAATATAATAAAAACAAAGATAAACACCCCACAAGGACAAACACATTTTCCCCCTGTCTTCTTGACTTAGTTCCCAGTTCCTTCTTGATATGCCAAACATGTATTTACTTTTTTATTCACAACTGTTGTGAAGTGCATGCCCTTTGAGTCAAAAATGCCTTTCCTCTTTGTGATTACATATTATGGAAAAAAGAATGGGCTTTAGAGGAAGGGAGACCTTCGGAGCTCGGGTCAAATCTTGGAGTTATGCATGGACATACATGGTCTGTGTGCCCTGGGGCAGGTTACCTAACCCTTCTCATCTCTAGTTTTGTCTTCCTGAAAGGGAATTAACTATAACCTACATTTTGTATAGTTGTGAAATAGTAGTTCTAGAAGTGATATTAGTAGAAATAATGCCTAACATTTATAAAATGTTTGTGTGTGTCAGGCATCTTATGTTCATGATGACATTTAATCTTCTGTAAGATATAGTACTTAAGATTAGTGGAGGAGGACTGAACCTACCCTCTTAGATTCAGTACCTGAGGCCTGTAAAATAAATGGATGAAAGACAGATTAACAGGAGAAAAAAAAAAAAACAGACTTTATTTACACATGCATTGCGGATAGCCACAGGAAAACTCAGTGATGAGTAACTCAAAAGGCTGAGAATTAGAATTTGGGACTTCTATGCCAACTTCACAAAGGGCAATATATTGTAAATCAGTGACAAGACAGGGGAAAGGGGGTTTGGGTTTATCTTCCCTCCAATCTCCATTAGAATGTAAGTTCTTTGAGAGCCGGGATTTTTGTCTGTTTTATGCAGTTCTGTTTCCCCAGCCCCCATAACACTGCCCAGATTCGTGGTAAGAGCTCGGAAAATGTTTTTGGAATCAACCTGTTTCCCTGTGTTATAGATAGGGAAACTGAAACTCAGGTAACTTGCCCAAAGTGGTCTTAACTATTAGGATAACCAAATGAGTGGAAGCTGTTAGCATCCATCTCATGTTGGCTTTCAGTAAAACCTACAATCTATAATTGCTGCATTCTCATCTACCTTCTCAAAGCTGGGAAATAGCCAATAAAATGCACTAAAATGAGTTTTGCCTTATACATTTGCTCCTTTAACCACAAAATAATGATTTTAATAAAATAGGGATTTAACACAAAATTTAACACAAAATAATGATTTTAATAAAATAGGGATTTCTACATGTGATGGCAGATGGCTTTGATTCTATATTTATTAAACATAATAACTTTACGTAAATTTTTTGACAGCAAAGATTATTGTATCAATGAATTAAAGCCTATTATGATACTAGCATAATAGATGACTGAGTTCTAGAAGTGTACTATTTCAAAAGAGATTTTTTTTTCCTAGTTAGAGATGAGGATTACTGAAGATAGCCGTCTTCAGCAGCATCTACTTTTCATAGATTTCCCCTCACTTTTAAATTAATGTAAAATATGCTTCTCTCCATCACGTTGTCATTACTTTTTTTTCTCCCCTCTTTCCTAAAGAAAATCGAGTGTTCTTTCCAATCTGAAAGTGAGCTTACTTCGAAGGAATTTCTAGGTGTGTTCACATCAGGAGGACTTGCTCCCAGCCTGGGAATTATAAATAGTACATACACTGGCATCTTCCACTTTAATTTAACTTTGGTAATAACATTTTATTTTATTCTTTGATATTATTAATGAGAAATAGACTCTTTCTCATAGGATGTGTTTTTTTTTAAATAGTCCATAATGTCACATCTATATATGTTTTATGTTTTAAACCTAACAATACAATGTTAAACTTTTTGCTTTAAATAGTTTTTAAGAAATTAGTATATGTGCTGCTGAAGTGAGCGCTAGTTCTTAAGAAATTAAAGAAAAAATACGTGTGGTTTTTTTACTTTTTACCTACATATTTATGATTTGAATCGTTCTTCATTCTTTTCCTGGGATGGGAGCTGCCATCTGGTGTCATGTTTCTTCAGCCCAAAGAATTTTTATCATTTCTTACAGTGCAAGACTGTGGGCAATGAATTCTCTGGGAGATTTATCCCCTCGAAAATGTCTTTCTTTCACCCTCATTTTTGGGGTTAACAAAAAAAATTATACCTTTATTAAGATATAATTTGCATGCCATACAGCTCACCTATTTAAAATGCACAATTAAATGGTGTTTAGTATATTCACAGAGTGCGCCAACATCACTGCTATCTAATTTTAGAACACTTTCATGACCGTGAAAAGACAGCCCATCCCCGTTAACAGTCACTCCCCGTCCACCCTCTGCTCTCCAGATGTGGGCAACCACTAAACTACATCTGTCTTTCTGGGTTTGCTTATTCTGAATGTCTCAGATAAATGAAATCCTACAACATGTATCTCTTTGTGACTGGCTTCCCCTCAGCTAACATAACGTCTCCACGTCTCGTCCATGTGGTGGCACATGTCAGGACTTCATTTCTTTTTACTGTCAAATCATATTCCAGTGTATCAATACCACGTTTTGTCTATCCATTCATCAGTGGCTGGACATTTAGGTTGTTTCCACCTTTGGGCTGCAGTGACTCACGTAGCTATGAGCATCTGTGTACAAATCTTTGTGTGGAGATACGTTTTTTTAATTTCTCTTGGGTGTCTACCTGGGAAATTGAGTTGTGAGGTCCTAGAGTAACAGTCTGGTAACTGCCAGACTGTTTTCCAGAGTGGTTGCACTCTTTTAACATTCCCACCAACATTGTATTAGGGTTCATCTTCACCCACAGTTGTTACTGTTGGTGTTTGGTGATACAGCCATCCCAGTGGATGTGAAGTGCTATCTCATTTGGTTTTGATTTGCATTTCCCTGATGATTAATGATGTTCAGCATCTTTTCACATGTTTATTGTCCATTTGAGTATCTTCTATGTGGAAATATCTATTTAAATTCTTTGTCCATTCTTAATTGGCTTGTCTTCTTATTCTTGTCTTTATATTCTCAATACAAGTCCCCTATCAGACACATGATTGGCAAATATTTTCTCCCATTTTCTGGGTTGTCTTTTTACTTTTTAGGCAGTCTCCTTTGATGCACAAAAGTTATTTTGATGAAGCCTAATTATCCATTTCATTGTTGTTGACCTTGTTCTTTGGTGTCATGTAGGAAACCATTGCCTGGTCCAAGGTCACAGAGATTTGCCCCTCTGTTTTCTCCTAAGAGGTTCATAGTTTTACTTTTTACATTTAGGTTGTTGATCCATTTCGAGTTCATTTTTGTGTGTGGTGTGAGGTTGGGGTCCATATGCATAGTTTATATGTGGATATCCATCTGTCTTAGCACCATTTGTTGAAAATACTATTATTCTTTCCCTACTGAATTGTTTCGGCACCTTTGTTGAAAAATCAATTGACTGTAAAGGTGAGGGTTTATTTCTGGATTCTCAATTCTAGTGCATTGATCCATACATCTATCCTTATGCCAGTACCGTGTTGTCTTGATACTGTTGTTTTGTAGTAAGTTTTGAAATAGGAAGCATGAGTCCTCCAACTTTGCTATTCCTTTTCAAGGTTGTTTTTGCTAGTCTCTATGTGAATTTGCTGGCTTCCATGTGAATTTTAGGATAAGCTTGTCAATATTTACAAAGAAGTCTGCTGGAATTCTGATAGAGATTGTGTTGAATCTATAGATCAGTTTGGGTGGTATTGCCATTTTAATAATATTATCTCCCCATCCATGAATATAGGATGTTTTTTTATTTATTTAGATTTTCTTTAATTTCTTTCAACAATGTTTTGTAGTTTTCAGAGTGTAAGTTTTATACTGCTTTTGTTAATTTTGTTCCTAATATTTTATTCTTTTTGATTTTTTTTTAAAGATTTTATTTATTTATTTGACACAGAGGGAGAGAGGGAGAACACAAGCAGGGGCAGCAGCAGGGAGAGTGAGAGGGAAAAGCGGTCTACCCACTGGGCAAGGAGCTCGATGCAGGGCTTGATTCCAGGACCCTGGGTTCATGACCTGAGCTGAAGGCAGACACTTAACTGATTGAGCCACCCAGGTGCCCCTCTTTTTTATTCTATTGTAGAGGGAATGGCTTTCTTAATCTCATTTTCAGATTATTCTTTGCAAGTGTGTAGAAATACATTTAATTTTTATATAATGATCTTGTATCCTACAACCTTGCTGAACTCATTTATGAATTCTAATAGGTTTTTAGTGGTCACCTTGATTTTTGAATGATACGTTTGTCAGATACAGAATTTCTGGTTGACTCCCACTTCCTTTTGACATTTTGAATATGTTATTCTGCATTTTGAATATGTCAACTGACACCATTGTTTCTGAATGAGAAGTCAGCTATTAATTATATTATTGTCCCTCACGTGTAATGTACCATTTTCCTCTGCATGCTTTTAAGATTTTCTCTTGGTATTTACCCTGATTGGGTTTCTCTGGGCTTCTTGAATTATAAGTTTATCAAATTTGTAAGGTCTTCAGCCACTATTTCTCTTAAAAAATGTTCTGCTCCTTTCTCTATCTCTTTTCCTACTGGGACTCAAATTATGCACATTTTAGAATATACAACATTGTCCTGGAGATATTTAAGGCTCTGGTCATTTTTCTTTAATCATTTCTCCCCTTTTTCAGATAGGATAATTTCAACTGCTGTATCTCTAAATTCACTGATTCTTTTACCATCACCAATCTGCTCATCTAGTAAATATTTTATTTCGGTTATTATACTTTTTGCCTCATTATTTTCATCTGGTTTTATTGTTATATTTTTCATTTATGTGCTGGGATTCCCTGTCCATTCTTTCACTAGGACATTTTCTTTAAGCCTGTGTACATATTTATAATAGCTGCTTTGAAGTCTTCATTTGCTCTCTGGACTCACTCTGGGTCAGTTTACCAAGTTTATCATCTAACTTTTTTTTTTTTATCAGTTACATGTTTCTCTTTTCATGTCATATCATTTTGGTTGAAACTGGACATTTAAGATAATAAGCTATAGCAACGGGGGGAGTTGTTGGTTGTGGTGTAAAAGGCTCTTTCTTGCCTTGACACAACTGTAAACTGTCTTATTTATGGTTTCAGCAGCTGTTATCTCTGTTCAGTTTTTTAAGTTTCCATGGTTGATTTTTTTTTTTTTAACATGGCCTTCATTGGTCTCCTCAGCACTTGCATTGCCCAGGATTTGGGGAAATTTATATTTAGCTCTGAGCTCACCACTCTTGCAGTTCCCTTGCCCGTTAGATTTTCCCCTTAAATTCCCAATTTTCTGTCCACATCAAGCTCTGTTCTCTGGCACATCAAGCCAGTAATGCCTCGGTTTTGTGCTACCTGAGCACGGTTGCATGATACGCCACTATATAGCATTTTACATAATCAATTAACATTTTAGTTATTTCCAGTCTTCTACTATTACAAGCAATGATGAAAAATATTCTTGAGCACATTTTATTTCACACATATGTGAGTATAATGTAGGATAAATTCCAAACAGTGAAATTTCTGGGTAAAGGGTATATGCATTAGATGTTTTTATTTAATTTCCATTTTTAAAGATAGGATGGGATATAGCAAAATAAGTGTTGCCATGGACATTGTCAAACACTGTATTCTGACGTCTTCTTTATTCAAGTTCAGTGATCGAGTTTACTGGTTGATCAATATTCCCAGAGAAAACATTACAAAAAATACAGGTAAGAATGATCTGACTTAACTTTTACTCATGGGTCTGGGTTGCCAAATGTAGCAAATAAAAAGCACTTATATTAAAAAATTATTTGCTGTTCCATATAAATGTCTCATATCATATTTGGGACATGCTAAAAATTATTATAATTCATCTAGAATTCAAGTGTAACTGGCAATTCTATTACAGTTAGGTTGGTTTAACACACATAACATTTATATTGTTCTTTAAGTAAACTCATTTTCTAGAAAGAACTCAAAAATTATAGTATGGAGAAATTCATGTACCAATAGGTTACCTTAAAATAGTCTGTAATATGAAATATATTATTCACTATGGAATCTACTATTAAGTGTTATGTGGTAGAATAGTTTTATATGC